GTTCAGCGTAGGATTTACATATAATCACCCTTTCTAAATTAGAAAATTTTTTCTTCTCATAAAATTCGATTAAGAAAATTTGCAATTTAAAATAACCTTAATCTACTATTTTAACTAAAATTTGAAATAAGGTAATATGTTAGTTGAAAATAATCGGAGCTTAAATTTTATAGTAAAGTTATTTGTAACATATTCTCTGACTGATGTTTTTCAAAAATAATCTTGTTTCAACCGAATCTTTAATCAACGCCAACTAATCGACGAACCAAAGTAAACTATCTATCCAGTAATTATACGTTATCTGAGCGGTTTTTAGAAGCAGGCATTCCAATCACCATATAAAGTCACTTAAAGAAAGAAAACACCCGGTATAATAAAACCTTAAATTAAACTTATCTATTAATGAAGAGACAAAAAACGTCATAACGCGTAACATGTATTAACTAAAAAATCAAAAATGTTGACGAGTATTAACTAAATATAAACATAAAAGACGTCATACCGAGTATTAATTAAAAAGCATTGGATTAACATTGTTGCGACATTGATTATCATCTATTGTTGGTATCTCATGGATTACTTAATTGATAATATAATTAACGCTAAATAAATTAAAGAGCGATTATCCCTTATATACGTACAGTATAATTAATTTTTGATAAAATATTTATCGTGGCTTAATGATGCATCTGATCAAACTTTGCAGATCGCAGTTCACACGTACAATCACTTTATTGTCGTTCGATTGCGCGATTATAAAGTGATTTTATTAATAATAAATAAAATATTTTTAAAACTTATGACTTTCCTATATCAAATTCTCAAACTAACTTCGTCAATCAGACAACAATTAATTGATTGTGTTAGATGCGATCTGCAAAATTTTATCAAAGATACATCATTTTGCAAACCACGATATTCTATAACGTTGAAGGCTTCGGTAGAATTCACTAGAATTAAAAGATGTTAAAAGTTCAGTAAAGTCTAGTTAAAGCTCTATCCTTAATTCAGTCTAAATTCGCTTAGATTTGACCATTTAACGTCCCTATCTGGAATTATGATTTCTAGATTAAGGAAATAAAGATAACATTCAGGTTAGAAATTATAAATCAAAACAGTATAATAATATATAGTATTCATTAGAGTCCGAACTACGAAATTTTTTTGTATAAATAATGAATTTATGAACCTAGCTTCTCAACAAGTTCAAAAACGAATTATCATAATAAATTATATAACATTTTAAAAAAATGTCTTTATACCGGCCTGAACATAAATTTGAACATTTCGAGAATTCAGTATCTGGTAGTTGGGATCCATCTTTTGATGTTCACGAAAACGAAAATGAAATTATTGTAAATGCTGAATTACCAGTATGTATATATATATATGACAAGATTTATTATACCAGTAATTGCCATTTTTTATAACTTTAATTTATTTGATTTAAATAGGGAATCACTAAAGAACAAATCAATGTAGATGTTCGTAAAAATGCACTTGTAATTTCTGGTAAAACTAAACGAGATGAAAAATATGAAGAAGGAAATGTACATATTCAAGAACATAGTTATGGAAGTTTTACTCGTGCTATTTCTCTTCCTCGTAACGTTAAAACTTCAGATATCACAGCTAAGTTTGAACAAGGTATACTTGAAGTGAAACTTCCAAAGGATGAGAATGAGGTGTCATCAGACAGAAAAATTGATATTCAATAAATAATGTATACAGTATACTGTATAGTTGATAAATACATAGTTAAATCTTATTAAATAATTTTACGTATCAATACGTATAATATATGTATATTTTTTTATGTTTGTTATTTATTAATACAGCATTATCATTATCGTTATACTGTAGTTATAGTTAACGATTAATAAAATAGGCTTATCAGTTATAGTGTTAGGTACTTTTATACAGTAAGTCAAGATTGTTCCAGCTTATGCCTTATGTTTAGTAGAATCAAATTGTTCAGTATTATAGTATACAGTAACTTAATTGTAGGGATTGGAACCGAGAAAAATTATGCTGGCTTAATTATAAGTTACACGATTAATCATTTAATGATTAATAATAATCGCATAATCGTTTGTCCGTTTAACCGTGTTCGTGTAACCGTATGTTTAATGTAAATCGATAGGAACTGGAAATCAGCATAAGTTTGGAGTATAAAATTTTTATAGCATAACGATAAATAGGTTCTTAATATAATAATATGCCAATTAAAACTAGGAAGTGACAAGCTTAACTCTGAAAAATTATAATATTGCGTAATTGAATTGCGGTAGTATTAAAATACTGCATCGTGGTTGTAATTCTTGTAGTATGTAGTATAATATTATCATATATTATTCAATGCTTTACTATGATCTATAAAATAAATCAATTATTTTATGGTATTTTTTACGTGATAAAATTATTGATCTTATTTCATAAACTGAAATAGTAAATCTGAATAAAACCGCTGGGTTACCAACAAATTATCATCGACCATAAAATACAGCAGATTGTAACAATGATTGTAATAACGAAATAAACTTCATATGTACTGTAATTGATTTATTACGTAAATATTATATATTGAAATAATAAAGATTCTTCATTTTTTTATTTTTTATATTTTTCTCAACAAAAATGATGAATCATGAAAGTGAAAGCTTGGATGATATCTAAATACATAAATAGAGTTTGGGAATTGCTTAGTTTTTTTGCAGTAATTCATATATATATATATCTTGTGAGTTTTTTACTTTTAATATACAAATGCATATACGAGGTAATAGAGGTCCAATCCGGATAAATCCGTCATCCATTTATCCATATCTAATTTATCCGGATATCCATTTACTATTGGTATCCGGATAACAATAGTAAAACAGATATCCGAATAAATTCGGATCTGGATATCCAATAGATAAATGGATAAACGGATAATGGATAGGAACTCTACGAGATAATATTACACTCTGCATTATATAATGCGTAGGTTTCTCTCTAATTCTGCACTGCTAGTAGGTGTATCACGAAAGCGGAAGGAACAGAATACCTAGTTGTTTTCATTTGAAACCCCGATGAGAGACAATATGTTTTCTCTAATAAAACTCCGTAACCATTTAGTTATTATTACACGCATGTGTTACAAGATTTGAAAAAAATCGTATTCTTACTCAAAATAAGCACATGCGCGATTCAAAATAACGCGCAGGGACCCAAAATAAAGCGTAGAGGGACGCAAAATACGGTAGAATTTTAAGCTCGGCACAAACCCAGTCCAATTACAGAATTAACTTGTTCCGAACCCTAGTTATGCTTATTACAATCAGTGTTTAAAATTTGATGTTCTTAGTATTCCCAGAGAAATATTACAATTTTTGAGAAATAAAATATTAAAAAGATTTTAATTTCTCTATATAAAGAACGTTAAAAATTTTTTTGAGAATTTGAATTTTAAACACTTACAATCACACTGCTACGCTTTGTTAGCTTTTATAATAACTATATATATTACGGTACTAACACTTCAATTGACTTTCCCAGGGTCCCAGAGTTTGACATTTGACAATTGCGAGTTTTAAAGTCCGGTCCGGTTCGACTCGACTCCAAAGTCGAGCCTTTATTAAAGTTTGGTCCCAAGACAAACTTGGAACTTTTAAATAACGAAAAAAAAAGTGTATTTATGCATATTTTGCATTTTTTTTTTTTTTTAGTGCTATATTTAATATACAAGTTGCACGTGAAATGCAAGTCGAGTCCCAAGTCTGACTTGGGACCGAACTTTAATAAAGACTCGGCTTTTTTGGAATCAACTCAAAAGACCAACTCGGACCCTTTTAAAAGTAATCAATATAAACCTTGTATATATTTATTACTTTAGAACTTGTAATTGTCAAATGATTGACTCTGGTGATCCTGGGAAGGTCAATTGACATTCCTCATGAGCGCCTATAATACCCTCATATATAATATTTTTTTATTTTTTGATGTGTCATAAACTTTACAAAAATGTACGTCAGTTTAGGGAAACGATTTCTAATTTTAAGAAAATTCATTATGCTTTATGAAATCCTAAAAGGTCAAAATTCCGAAATGTTAAGATTTTGATCCAAACATGATATTTTTCTTGTTAAATATAATAAAATTGGAAATCGCGAATACTTTTTTCCCCTATTACCCATAATGAAACAAGCAAGATCACTCCATTTAGTTAATATAGGAAGATTATATAATGAAAAATAAGACCTTCGCGTGTAAGTTTAAATTTTACAAACAAGGTATTGTAATTGATAATGCAATATTCGGTATTGATACAGTAACTTAAAATATTCAAGAATGCTACTCCACATACAAATATGTATGTAAAATATATGAATCATTATCAGTTATATATTATGTTTGCATCATATGTAAATGATAGAGTGAAATATTCCTACTTTGGTATAAGGTGGCGCGTTTGATCATATTAAAAATTAGCACTTAAAATTGCGATATATTGTGATTTGCTATAAAAGTTTGGATTTATAACAACAAACACGAATCATAGAAAGAAAAAGAAAAATCTTTGTAATTTTTGTACTGTACGTGATAATAAACAGACTTGAAATAATAATGTTGTGTAACTTATATAATAGTTAGGAATATAAATAAGGATATTAATATGACGTTTTATTTTTGATTCTTGAATTATCCCTCAAAATTAAGTGAATTGAGAATATTCCAAAAACAATTTTTTTTTTGTCGCGCGAATAGTACAAGAATGGTGCAATTGATTTGTCATTGAAATCTGTAGTACAATAAATCAAGAAAGTTATTTGATCTTCCTTTATCCATATCTACTATACAAACAATATAAATAATTCTGTTACACAATCTTATTAATAATGATCATCTATTTGTTTTTTATAAAAGAAAAGTCGTCCTATCACTATTTCTTCATAAATTAAAATAAAATGCAACAAAATCGCAAATACTGCCAGCGTCACCGTCCAGATATCAAAAGAATGAAAGAAACAACTCTTGACGACTTAAAAGAGGTACTTTTTTTTTGAAATTGTTATCATTTTTAATTCTATTTTGCTTTTACTCATTAATAAATTGGATATCTTTATAGCAGGTTGAAATTTTGCCCGAATCTGAACGTGAAAAGATTATAAAGATTTGGTCTCTTTTTTCAGCCTCAACTCCATCCTGCCGTCATCTTATCCTAGAGGGAATTCTTGCCCAGTGTTGTTTTCCTCAATTATCCTTTATTTCTAACAGGCTTAAAGGCATTATTCGTATTGACTTTATAGCCGCCCTTCCTAAAGAGCTTTCAATTCATGTATTATCATATCTTGATGCAATTTCCTTATGTCGTGCTGCTCAAGTATGTAAATTATGGAAACGTCTTGCTGATGATGAGGTGGTTTGGCATAAATTATGTGAACAACACATTGATAAAAAGTGTCATAAATGTGGTTGGGGCATTCCATCAATGTTAGAACAAAATAGATTAAAAAAGGCTTCATTATCTAATGAAAATGATCCTTATCCTGCTTATGTAACGACTACTTGTAGTTCAACAACCCTTGACATTCAATATGCTTCCATTGAACAATCTCAATCATCATCTCCATCACCAACAATACCTTCAACTCCAACGATACCTTCAACTCCAAATACTCCAAATTATGATTCACAAGATGAAATTCTTGAAATAAAACGTGTTCGTATTTCTGATGATAAGATATCTGCTTTATTTGAAGATTCTTATTCATCTACATGTGAAAGTTCTATGAGAAGACCTTGGAAAGAAGTTTATGCTGAACGACAACGAGTTGAATTCAATTGGAGAAAAGGTCGTTATAATGATAGGGTCTTAAAAGGTCATGCTGATGGTATAATGAGTCTCCAATTAGATGACCAAAAAAATCGTCTTATCACTGGTTCTTATGATAATACTATTAAAGTTTGGAATCTTAATACTGGTGAAGTCGTTCGTACATTAACTGGCCATACACGGTGTGTAAGAGCATTACAATTCGATAATGTAAAACTCATTACTGGCTCAATGGATCACACTTTAAGAGTATGGAATTATCATACCGGTAAATGTATGACGAAGCTTGAAGGGCATACTGGTGGTGTTCTATGTCTTCATTTTGTTGATTACACTGTTGCAAGTGGCTCCACTGATACTACCATAAAGATCTGGAACTTTTCTACTCACAAATGTTTTACTCTGAATGGTCATAGAGAATGGGTAAATAAGGTTTTAATTTTTCAAAAGACACAACTCCTCTCTTGTTCTGATGATCATACTTTACGGATTTGGGATTTGACTTCACAATCATGTACTCAAATTTTTGATGGTCATAATGCTCCGGTTCAATGTATTCAACCGACGTATTTGCGTATGAGTTCGAATACAACCTTAACTACTATTGATGATCAACCATGCAACCGAAATTCTCGAAAGGATGATAATTTAACTCCTGTTATAATATCAAGTTCCTTAGATAATGTGATTAAAATTTGGTCCTTACAAACTGGTGAATGCCTTCGTACCCTATTCGGTCACGAAGAAGGTGTTTGGTCGTTGGCAGTTGACAAGCTTAGATTAATTAGTGGAGCACAAGATGGTATAATAAAGATTTGGGATAAGGATTCAGGAAATTGTATGCATACTTTAATTGGACATTGTGGTGCTGTTACATGTGTTGCATTGAGTGACACCAAAATTATTACAGCAGGCGATGATGCAGATATTAGAATCTGGGACTTTGGGGGCCAATAATTAATAATTGATCATATACATAACCTTTATTTATTTTTTGGAAAATTCGGTGCATAGAGTTTAGAAAAACCTAGTAATAGTAATTGTAGCAAAGGATAATAAGAGTTTTAGTTTTTTTTTCATTTTTTTATTTTATTTTTTTTCTTGAAGTATTATAAGCATGTTGCAACAGGGTATACATATTATTATACAATTTTTTGGTTTATATTTGATTATTGACCCCATTTTGTGCCTTCCAAAGCGCTTTATTTTCGGAGTTTTTTTGAGAAGTCATTATTATGAGATTGAGAATCTTAGATAATTTCAAATTTCATGGTTTTATACTTTCGAAAATTCAACTTGGGTGTAATTAGATTTTTTTTTTCTTTATCTATCATTCATTTTGTAAATATACATATGTTAAATAATAATATAATTTGTAAACTAATAATATTACAATTATTCTCAAGAAATTGTGCTTATATTTTCTTATAAATTAAATCATAGTTGGGCCTAAACAAAAAATGTGATAGCATATAATGTGATTATATGGAAGGTGACTATATAGAAGGACGATATATCATATTTAAACGTGAGCATATAGCATAACGATGCTGTAAATCATTGACTAATTACTAAAACACATACATACCACTTTCTAACTTTTTTAAATTATAAAATTATGGCTTCAAAATTTTATAATAAATATATATTATCTATACAGTATACAGTATATAAATTTTTATCAAATTTCAATTACTATAGCGATAAATTTTATGATAAATACAGTTGTTAAAAAAAATATAGTAACAAAGTATGTATTTGATTATCAACTAAGTAATCAAAATTATGTTAGCATGTATTACAAAATTTATATTACACACACGACAATCAATTTTTTATTAAAATTCGAATTGTGTTATGACGATAATCTTGATTACTAATACAAAAAAATTTCAAACCGATTCAACTTCTTCATATTACCTTGAACTTTCACAAATTGCTTATAAAATCTAGAGAATAAAACAATGTTGATAATTTTCTGTCAACATATAAGTATTGGGCATTCGTCTTATAGAATATCTTAAATTTTATTGATTTAGAATTAAAAAAAAATTATCTTGAAACCTTAAGTTAAAATTTACTTAAAGCTTTTGCAAAAAAATTTAACATTGAACCTTCAAGATAACTCTTATGAATGCTCTTTGTTTAAAAAAAATTCAAAAAATAAGTCTGAATCTTTTAAAAATTTGCATACTTTTGATATAAATTATTTTTTTTAGCTGATAGAAAAATAAGCAATTTATCCTATTTTAGGAAGGTTTTTTTGCTATTTTTACTGTAAAAAAAGTTACAAGTTTTTATTAGGTAGGCTAGATCTTGTATTTAGAAATTGAGCATACTGTATTAGAAAATTTAAAGAAAGAAAATGTATTTCAAAAAAATTATATTCTTACTAAATAACAAAATATTAGAATGCTAGCTAATAGTAACTATAACCTCAAAAGAAAAAACAATTACTGTATTTATCCACCATGAAGACCCCCTGTGCATACCCTGCAGCAATTTCAAGGACTGATTTTGACTTATATCTGGGTATATATGTGTGTATATATATAGATATAATCAATTCAAAAATTTTTGATTTATACCTGGGTATTATATTCAGGTATTATATATAGAGATTGTGATCAATCAAAATCTTTTATCATATGATTAATTATTTGTTTGTTAGTCTTTTTTTTCAAATAGAATAGCAATAGTATACTAAACTAAATTAATGATTAATACACATTAGTAATGACAGATTTACTAAAATATGATAATACTCAAATAAAATAAAACTTTTCAATTAATTGGTGATCCACCAGTCAACCAGAGAATGATCATAGTAAAATATGACTCAAATTACTTATAAAAATTAGGGGTCTTCAAATGTGGCATGCGCATTTCTAAAACTTTTTTTATACTAAGTTAATTACTTTTCTAACTTAAGAGACTTTTGTAGAGCTTGTCAAGATGCATCTAATGGTGGTTAAAGCGTCAAAATCAGCTTGGTGGGTGCTGAGATATCTTTAAAAAAACATTTTTTTTACTATATAAACTTCTTTACTTGGTGATCCACCAGTCAACCAGAGAATAATCATAGTA